ACCGTCATGAGCGACTTGAGTCCAATGGAGTGAGAGAGAGACACTGTATTCATTTGGCCACAGGTATCAGGAGCCTAAAAAAAAATGCTCACACCTTTTCTCCTACTCATTTCAAATCTAAGAACCGGTTGTGAATGAGTAACTAGAAATGAAACTATTTCTGTGTAAAGATGCTCATTATCATAGCGAGAGAACGAAATAATCTAAAAGTTAAAATCAAAAGTTGAAGAGAAATGGTTACATAAATTATTGTACATCACAACCCATACAGGAAATGAAATAAAAATACAACCAAGAAGTTCGTTTATACTAATGTCAGATAGTTCATAAATAAAAGATTTCCTGCACTAGGTAAACACAGTAACATAGGCAGAGGCACAAATACCAACATACTTTTATCCACACCAAGAAACACACCAAAAGAAAAGCAGTGGCCGTCTCTGGGTTTATAAGTTAATCAGTGAATTCTCTTATACTGTCTGGATTTCCCCAAAAGGTAGACTACATAGTGTTCTATAATTGTGAAAAAAGAATAAAAAAACTCATTAAGGGAAATGAATTTTCTCCTCCTGTACTTGAACAGAAAGTGTATACCTTCAGTGTTTCATTTGAAAAATGAAAAGAAGAGGGTAGGCGTGCTGGAACGCGTTGCCCACACGGAACTGACTGAGCCCGGAGAACCCTGGCACCAAACAAGAGATGCCGTTACAGTTCTCCAATTTGAGCGTGTTTCTTTGGTCTTGCCTTGTTCACCCTGCAGTTTAGAATCAGAGTCTTAAGGATGCTGAAATATTAAGGGATGAGAGTAGGAAGCCAGGAACCTCACTCTATTTCCATCACTTGTTATGGTCCCTCGGACAAATCATCCCTCCGTCCCGGGCCTCAGAGCTCCCATCAAGGAAATGAAAGGTTTGGACCAGCTCATCACAGAGGGCTCTTTAGCTAACCTGAGTGGGATTATTTGCCCCTCCTGTCTCAAGAACGTAGTTTCCCCCCTTTAAAGTGAGAGACTAGGGCAAATGAGCGTTCAGCTTAGTCTATAAACAGAAATAGTTTTCCATGCACTCATCCATCACAAGAAACTGTTTCAGCTTGGGTTGCTCAGGTTTACCAGCTCTCTCCCAACTCTTGTCTGGGGCCCCAGACTCTGGTCCCCACTCTCAGCAGGAGGAAGTGGAGGTGGCCACTTCCTGTGGGTGGCTGAGATGCATCTCAGTTGAATGTTCCATTTTTACTATAAATACCTGACTCACCCTTGTTGCATTCCTTAACACACAAAGGAAGAAACTGGCAACCAAGACCACACCCCCTAATTCTACAGGTGTGAACAACAAAAGAGATTATAAAACGCTTCAAGGCTATGACTGACCTTGTGCGTGTCCCATCTTCCCCTAGACTTTGGCCAGACCCCCTAAAAATGAGCGTTCTCTCTAGGATTTTACATGCCAGACTCCTGCTCCAGACGCTTTTCCCAGCCACCTCCCTGCCCCTTCTCATCCCTCGGCAGAGCTCTAACCCCTTTGCCTGGGCCCTCACAGAAATCTGTCCGTCCCTTTAAAAAGTATTGCACTTTAATTCGCTTCCATACCGGACTCTGAGCTTTGAGGATAAGGGACCGCATCTACAAAGATCATCCGTGAAACTCACACCTAGTTCAGGGCACAGCACACGACATTAGCTCCACTACTGACTAGGAATGAAAAATACAACACAATATACTACAGCAAAGCTTGTGAGCGAGCAGTGGCAGAGCCAGGACAATGCGCTGTCCAGCACGGAGGGGTGGTCCTGGCCCTGCACGCTGGAGAGGCCTGCAGAGGGGAGCACACTGGCTTACCTTTTTGGTCTTCACCGAAGACGCGCAGCAATCCCCACCATCGTAGTTGCAGAAGGCTCGGTTGTTGATGGCATCACAGTAATTGTCTCCCATGAAGGGCTGTACGTGAGGAGAGAGGCAGGAAGACAAGGAGGCCTTGTTAGCATCCTGGAGGGAGCGAGGTCAGATACTCAGCTGACCCTCATCTTCTCCCAAACTGCTACAGTCAGCCCGCCTGGCTGCAAATCCCAACACCCTTTTGGACAAGTTATCAAGTCTACCAGAGATTTAAATCTAAGTTCGCGCTCGCGCGTGCTCTCTCTCTCCCTCTCTCCATCTCTCTCTCTCTCTCTCTCTCTCTATATATATATATATTTTTTAGCATTCTAGACCACATAGAGCGTATGTTGATTTCTTTCTTTTGTTAGAGTTCCTCCAGCTCTATGATGCTTGAAAGATGAGGGAAAGGTGATGGAGTTAAGTCATTACTGATCTGAACCCAGAGTCATCTTAGAGGGAAGTCAGGAGTCTGCAACTCCCCCAGCACTTTCCTTTCCCCTGCTGGAACACTTAGCACACTGTCTTCTGTGGTCCGTTTATGTACCTGCAGCCGGAGCGAGACTATGAGCTCCTTAAAGACATGGCCGGTATCCAGTTCATCTTCGTCTCCCAATCACCTAGTTTAATGCTGGGCACAACTAGTTTTAAAGATGTTTTTGGAATAAAGCATCACTGGATTGGCACAGTGGAAAGGCAGTTGTCAGGGGTTTAGAAAACCTGAGTTCTAGTCTTCCAAACCTCAGCCACCTGGTTGGTTACGGTCATTTTGATTAAGTGGCTTATCCTCTCTGAGCCTCAGGACTTGCAGTAGTGAAATAAAAGGCAGGACTGGTCCACTGACTTCTCAGTGCCATGAACATACTCCTCCTCTCATCAAAGGTAACACCGTGTAACTCTTTAGTAGAGAAAGCAGATGGGAGTGACAGGCCTCTGATGAACGTTCTGGTTGGGGGGCCCTAATGCTCAGTGATGTGCTGGTGGGAAGGATGTCATCAGGTGGCTAAGACCACTGCATCCCAGCACATCCCCTGTGACCCAGTGGTCTCCCCTTCCCAACCTGACTCTCTGTGGCTTGCTCTGGGGAGGGCCGGTTCACAAGGATCCCATCCTATGAGGCATCTCTGTCTCGTGCACCTCGACTCCACATTCACAGAATCTTTGTGCCCCCAACTCATGATGCCTGATTCCACCTCACCACTGCCCTACTAGGGTCTACAGAAGATCTTAGCAAGGCAGAGCCAAGAGCAGGCGAGAGCGCTGCTCAGCTGTGTGTGCACACGCATGTGGCCACGAGCACGGGTGTGGCCGCATGACTGCATCCGTCTTAGAGCAGAGAGGCACACACGGCCAACAAAAGACAAGCCCCTTGCCCTTTCCTTTGCCTTAGGAGAA